AGACAAGTGAAGTCAATCCCATGACCAACTTTATGTCGAGACGGTTATGCTATCACTGCTCGTTTCGTCCTGGTCCTTCTACCCAACGAGGATGACATCCTGTCATCCCGGCAAGGTGTTGAATAACAGGCAAAGCATAGAAGTCGATTAAATGTCATTTTTCTAAAGTCTCCCAAATCTATATATTATTGCTATAAAAGAACTCTCTGGGAATTATACATAGTTGTACTCTTATCCTTCCTCTCTTTATAATTACAGAGATCCCCCATTAGTTCGTCTTTGTTAATTTTCTCACTGTCTAATTACCAGCAAGACCACTAGTTTGTTCAGTTGTCAAAATAATCAAATGATGGAATTTAGTATTATTATTTTTTCATATTCTTGTAATTGTATAGTTTCGCTCTTTATCTATAGATCCTTTTATATAAATTTATTCACTCTCGTTTGATTAGATGTTTCCAGTTTCTCTGGTCTGCGGCAACACAATGCTGTTGAAACCATCAGAACGCGATCCTGGGGCTGCGCTGCGTCTTGTCGAGTTGGCCAATGAGGCTGGCGTACCTCCGGGTGTGTTGAACGTTGTTCATGGTTCACAAGACGTCGTAAAGGCAATCTGTGAGCACCCGGATATCCGAGCCATTTCCTTTGTCGGTTCCGATCAGGCTGGAAAGTTCATATATCGGCACGGATGTGCCCATGGAAAGCGCGTTCAGTGCAATATGGTGAGTCGTCTGCCTTTGCGCTGGTCCTCTTCGATGTTAAAACAGAAGGGTTATGCGCTTTTTGTTTTTATAGACTTTGAAATCAACCCAAACCTCTTATCATCGTGGTGACATATCGCCTCCTCAAGCGATGAAGAGGAAAATGCTATTGGTCAAAATGTACATGAGCAAAGGAAGTCATGTAACATCTTAACGCAATTTAAGCCTATAAAATACGTGGCGGGTCCAGTTGTCGTTATTAGGATAATGATGCTGATGCTAATGTCCATACCACTTAGTTATTTCGCCTCGCTATCCAACGCAGGCGTTTTTTTATTACAGCAATTTTGCCAAGAAATTGGACGACCCTTCTGAGCTATTCAAAACATGTTTTGTCTATCATTTCCAGCCGAACTGGTATAGATAGATAGATAGATAGATAGATAGATAGATAGATAGATAGATAGATAGATAGATAGATA